TCCCTGGGTGCCGCAGCATAAATGTCTGCCCACTGCTCCGGGTGTGTGTTCCCTGTCTGTGTGTGTTCACTGCTGTGTGTGTACACTTTGGATGGGTAAATGCAGAGCACTAATTCTGAGTATGGGTTGCCACATGTCACTTCACTATTATACAGTACTCTTTCATTTTTTCATGTTTTGTTATGTTGCTGCATTATGCTAACCTGCTTTAAATTACTGTTTCACATCAATCTACACTCCATACACTATAAGGACAAAGCAACAACAAAAAAAAACATGTTACAACTTAGAACATTTATTATAAAGGAAAAACTGAAATATGTACATTGCATAAATATTCAATATTCATACCCTTTTCTGGGACACTTGAAATGTAGCTCTTATGTGTATGTATACATATATATATACAGGTGCATCTCAATAAATTAGAATGTCGTGGAAAAGTTCATTTATTTCAGTAATTCAACTCAAATTGTGTAACTCGTGTATTAAATAAATTCAATGCACACAGACTGAAGTAGTTTAAGTCTTTGGTTCTTTTAATTGTTTCGGTTCATTAAAGATTAATCTTGCAGCGGCATTTTGGATTAATATATTAATATATATATCTAGGCTATATATAGCCTATGTCTTTGTATGCAAGGTGAGATATATTGCCTTGATGCTAGTTTACTCACAAGCTCAACACGAACAAGCAGGTCAAGATTCTGAATTCCAGTGTCATGAAGTAAATACACAGTCATGTGTTCAGATTTCTAAATGTGTTCATCTCTCTGACATCAGATAATTGCAGACATTTTGGAACTTTAAAATTACCTGTAAAGGAACATAAACTGTTCTTTGTATTGTCCTCTTCCCAGGCGTGTGCTGATCTTCATCTTGTAATTAATTTTTTTGTAGAACCTGTCAAAGAGCAGTCAGCCATGGTTACTATTTTGTTTTGTAATATCGTTTTTCGTTGAAAAACACATCTGGCTGACTCACTGATTCAGCTCTCTGAGAAACTTTTCCACTGAATCTCCGCTAGAATCCACCACCTCGAGAATAACGATGATGTCGTAGCGTGACACTATCTGAAGAAATGGAGCGACGGTAAAACACATTATTACTCTGTCTGCATACACACCACTCTACTCCTTCCATGAAGGATTATCAGACATTAAGATGAATATCATGATACAGAATCAGAGAATCATTTAAGAGGAAGTTCACTGGCAAGTGTTCGTCAAGCTTGATGTTTTGCAGCCCATCATGGCTTTTCTGTAGGTGCGGCCTCACCTTGATCAGAGTTTCCCGCACAAACTTATCAGAGAGTTTTTCTCTCCCAAATTTCCGGACGTTGAAAGAAGCGACCTTCATGATGCCTGTCAAACATGAAATTAAGAGGAAAGCGAATTAGACAGATAATGCAACAAGCCAATAAATGATATTTCTGAGATGTTCGTTTGTTTGAATGATTGTTTTTTTAATAAAAATTATGCTCAATGGCAATACAAACATGAATACAGCCCATATAAAACAATGAATATAATATTTAGATAGATATACCTGCATCTTCAAAACAAAGGTATTCACAATGGTCTAGTGTAAAGTTCCTTCAACTCATCTCTATACTTGCATTTCTGGCCATGCGTACTGCCGTCATGACCTTTACACATTCATGAATGTCTTTATCATGCAGCTGTCAACAAGTACAGTGAAACATCATGCTCTATTTTCTTTGAACACTGTTGCAATCACTACATTCCTTTTAAAGCAAAGGCAAGCGGAAGAACCTGTTTCAGGAGTCATAGAACAGTTTATGAAGAATTTGGGCATAAAAGAGATCACTAGACGACTCTTTAAATGGTCAAATGAAGCCTTAAAATATGTTTCATTTGGTCTAATAGACAAAGATTTGAAATGTCAAAGGAACTCTAAAAGGGTCAATCTGATCAGTTAGAGAAGATAAACAAGTCTATTCACAAATCACCACAGTTTTCTGCAGAAAAGAGAAATCGCATATGGACGACAATCTTTCGTGAACATGACACCACCAACCCCGTGAAACAATGGACAATGGCTGTAGTTTAAATCCAAAGTTATGTATTTCAAGTGGTTTTACGTTCTGTTTCGTTCAACATCTCACAAGAAAAGACAAGTTTAGGGGCTTTATTTCCATGATTCCCATTTGTGGGTGTGACTGAGAGGATGTTTTTTTAATTCAAGAAATATATATTAGAATATTTGTAAAACAACATGGCAAGAATATAAAAACATGAGAACCTTGCTTGATTCTCAGATGCTTAAAAAAACAGTAAAAATTGTATAAGATTTTAAGAATCCACAAACAAAACTTAAGTTACCCAAGCACTTGTCCAAAGATACACTGAAGAAAAGGACTGTAGAGATTCCTAAAACCAGCAGCATTACTTATATTGGACACCTGTGATCTGATTGGCTAGACATAGGAACCTGTCGAGTGATTTGGCCCAGCCCCAATTTTGACAGACCTCGAAACAACAAAAGAGTTCCTCTCTCTATGGGCTCATAGAGAGAGCAAACATTGACTCGGAACTGGAAAGTGTGCAGGTGAGTTCAGACAATACAATCATCCTCATTACAGCCACAACATGTTTAAAGTTGCATTGAAAGGTGGAGAAATAATTGCCAGGTTGGACAGAATGATATAATGTACTTGTTCGACAAAAAAACAAGTTCATTAGCACTAACCATCCAAACAAACCGATTCACCAGAATGAATCAAGCACTTGATGGGAACACTACATTTGGGTAACTGCTGGGGTCCTGACAGTGCAGAAAACAAGCATTAGCTAAATCAGGGGTGTCCAATCCTGTTCCTGAAGTCCCCCTGTCCTGCAGAGTATTGCTCCAACACATTTGCCTGAAAGTGTCTAGTGAGTCTGAAGATCTTTTTTACTTTGGTTCAGGAGTGTTTGCTTAGGGTTGGAGCTAAACTCTATTTTAAATCCACTTATTAATTTTAATAAATATGTCTATTAAATGTTTATTTTGTATTTGTTATTTATGTTATAATGGTATCAAAATATGTATGCAGGAGGTAAAAAGAAACCCCTTTAAGGCTCCCAAGAAGCAGACGAAAGAGATGGACGATGAAAGTTCAGGTTTCTGTTGAAGTGTTTATACATAAACACTGAGATTATGATTTGAGAACAGATAAGCTACTTAGAGTTAAGTAATGACTATAGAGAACATGATTTTGAAATACTGCTTTATACATTTTCATTACCTGTTTGAACACCTGAGACACACCAGACATTCAGTATAGATTTTGAGTTTTTCTTTTGTCAACAAACTGTTTAATTTTCTTTCCATAGAAGGAGGTGGAATGAAGAAGTCTTGTGAAGAAATTAATGTGTTTTAGGCCCTGTCCCTGTCTAAAACCGCAGCTTTTTGTACGCGGTTTGGCCGTTCGTCCACACGCAAACGCAGCACCAGGTCACTGAAACCGAACATTTGTGAAAACGCCTGCCAGGGTGAGGATTTTCAAATACTCTGGTTGCAGTTTTGTCATGTAGACAGCGAAACCGGAGTTTTTGGCTTGTGACAGCGGAGCCTGCGCTGTTATCTCCGCCTACTGGAGACTTTTTCAGGCTTCTGATTGGCCAACATGGCTTTACGGTTGAGATTATATCGCCACCTGTTGGTTTGGCGTGCTCTTGACAGTGCTTCATAGCATGCGCTTGCGTTTTCATGTGGACGGAGATTTTTTTTAAAAACGGAAGAAGGAAAAACTCAGTTTATAAAAATACCCGTGTACGTGTGGACATGGCCTTAGTGTATATTTGCTTGCCGTTCAAACCAACTTATGATTTGGGTCCAAAAATTTGTTTTTAGTTACTTTATATTGCTCTTGTAAAGAAAACGTTAAGGAATAAAGTTTGTAATGACTGCAAATTCCGATTTCAGATGTTTAATGTCTTTGATTGTGAAACATTCATATGACATTCAAAACAACTGTACAATATCCAAACATTTCAAGTAAATCCAGTCTCATGTAAACATGTCCAGAAGTGTTCATAAAAGCTTATCCGTCTTTATATTCAGATCTCCAGAGTCAGTGTTTTCATGTCCATAAGATGTTCAGTCTCACAATAGCATTTCCATTTAACCTAAACAGAAAAAAAATCTTATGTTATTGTTTCTTTTCATCATGTGTTTTTAGTCATTGTGCTGCTGTTCATGTGTCTTACGTTTACGTTTAAGCTGCTTACGTTTTCTCTTCAGTTCCACCTCTACTGGATAGTGGTCACTCACTTTCAGTACCTGTAAAGACATTAAATCTGTGTTTTGAAAACTCATTCTGTAAGATAAATGTACAGTAATAACTCATGTCTTTATGGTAAGTGTGATTAAATATCAGTTCAAATGTAAAATGATTCTTGTTTACATCCTCATGTGCCAGTTTGTAGGCCGTTTGGAAGTTGAATGGTTTTGCAGAGTTGGGAACAACAGCTTTCAGCATATCGTCTCCATATACCACAATCCTGTGCATGAACATATTAATGACATATGACTTAAAATCATATTTGTTCATTTTTTTTGTCATAGTGTAATTAATTACCGGTCATAAGTGTTGTCATTTCTGGTGCTGGCTGTGGTGTCCTCGTCATCTGTGATCAGCCAATGGAAGTCCTTGTCACTCCTGATGCGGATTGTTTTCATTTCTTTACCAGACACGTAACTGCCATCTGCATTGAAGTCCCCCAAAATCATGATGTTCTGCATGGATATGCACATGCTTTTGTTTTCTAAACCATTCTTATATTACAACATTTTTGCTGTTTATAAATGCAATGATGCATGGTATCTCATTATTCCATGTTCACACAAAAATGAAAATTTTCTCAAAATATACTCATCCTCATGTAAATGAGTTTGTTTCTTCATAGGAACAGATTTGGAGAAATGTAGTATTACATCACTTGCTCACCATTGTTTTTATTTCAACTACTTAAAAATATGAGCCCTTTATCCATTGCATTGCCTTGTGCAGTGAAAAAGTCATCTCGTCTGAATCAGGAGAGAAATATAATAATCAAGCACCGTTTACAAGCAAAAACAGTTCTAAACAAACATGTCCATGAATTGTCCAGCTGTTTGGACTCTCCTTCTGATGGCACCCATTCACTGAAGAGGATCCATTGCTGAGCAAGTGATGTAATGCTACACTCTAAAAAATGCTGAGTTAAATATAACCCAGCGCGGGGTTAAAAAGGGACAAACCCAGCTATTGGGTTGTTTTGACCCAGCGGATGGGTTGTTTTGACCCAGCGGATGGGTTGTTTTGACCCAGCGGATGGGTTGTTTTGACCCAGCGGATGGGTTGTTTTGACCCAGCGGATGGGTTGTTTTGACCCAGCGGATGGGTTGTTTTGACCCAGCGGATGGGTTGTTTTGACCCAGCGGATGGGTTGTTTTGACCCAGCGGTTGGGTTGTTTTGAACCCAACTGCTGGGTCAAAACAACCCAATAGCTGGGTTTGTCCCTTTTTAACCCAGCACTGGGTTATATTTAACCCAGCATTTTTTAGAGTGTACATTTCTCCAAATCTGATGAAGAAACAAACTCATCTACATCTTGCATGGCCTGAGGGTCAGTACGTTTTCAGCAAATTTTCATTTTTGAGTAAACTATTTCTTTAAGTGCAAATTTATTTCAATTAATAAATCCTGTCTCAACCAATGGATGCTTGTCATAAAGGTATTGCAGTTGTGCATAATGGTTTACATCAGTCTTCCATTTCATCTTGACATTCTGAAACACGTCGTACAGTTCGTCAAGCTCCTTCACTGAATCCTCAGGCTTGGTGTGGACGGGAATCAGCACCAAATCTTCCAACACTGTTGAGACATGAACAAAATTAATAATTACAATAATTGATCTCCACACACAGCCTTTGTCACAGCCCAACCCAGAGATTAAATTATACATTAGCCAGTGACATTTATGCGTAATTTGTTTTTAACTGTCAATTGCATGAACTGGGAATGAAGTTATTACAAGGAAACACTACAAAGAAAAGCACATTTCCTTATAGCTTATATTAGCTCATAGTCACGGCCAGTAAAATGACATTGTGCATTAATGTGCCAAAATCACGAGACTGGTGCACCCATGATGTTAAACTGAAGTAATATGTTGTACTTTACCTGTTTTATGACATTTGAATCGCAGAACATACGGTTCTCTGGCGAAAGCATCTTCATCTCCAGGCTGATTGTCTTTGTATTGGTAAGACCCGACCAAATCCACCAGGTCGTCCCTTCATATTTAAAACAGACCATGTAGTTTAGTACAATAAATAAATAAAACTGATAGTCTTTAAATATTTAAAT